TTGTATACATACCTTCCTATAGCCTAGATTTATAATGTACCTGTAGATTTACAATTGAATTACCCAACCTAGATCCTAGATTTACACATTTTTGAAACCAGATTTTATGTCCACCAAGAACTATAATGGATTATACATTTTCTCAATGTAGCAGATTTTAAGACAGTGTGAGAAAGAGCAGCGTTGTTTTATTTTTCACTGGATAAATATAGGCTTGAGCTCTTCAGCCCCTGGAGATAAACGGTAGATATATTTCCGCTCTTTTTTTCTTCCTTTCTCGCCCTGTTCATCAGCAGGGTGCCGTGGAACCATTAGCTGACATTTAAGCAGTGCTTTTGTCACTGCCAGGCAGCCTTTTTCTCCTTCTCTCTCCATCTCGGCCCACATCCTCTGTCTAGGATGATGGAGGGTCGGCTACATGCATCATTCAGGCCTGGGTGGAGATGCAGTACTCCACTTCCTTAATAATGTCATTTTGCTTGAATGGTATTAACAGATTATCCAGGCCCGGGGCAGTGAGGCATGTGCTGGGGAAAGATAACCTTGTGTTCTGTAATTTAATCAAAAATGTTTTCTCCATGGAGTCACTTTGCCCCCACCATAACAGGCCTAATATGCTCTCGTACCCCCTAGTCGTATTCCTCTGTGGTTGCAGAGCAAAAAAAAAATAACCCTATTACAAGAGTTTTGCGAAGCTTCTTCAACGAGGTGTTTTGAATCACTCAGCGCCTCATCCGTGGACATGGGACTATAAACAGGCTTAGATGAAATCAGATTTAAAACCTCAAATTTAGCTGGGCTGCATATCAAAGAGACACTCTCGCTCGACTCTCAAAGGCAGAGCGTTATTTTCTCCTCCGTCACTGAAGGCCTACAGTAATATTCCTCGCCGCGTATCGGGTTCAAAAAAGCACGGTGAAATTCTGCGACACAGTTTGATTTAGAGGCAAAAAATGTAAACCATTTAGAGGCGAACTCTTTATGGAGTTTAATCCTGCGTTCCATCCCTGGAAGCCGAATTTATATCCCGCATTAGCTATCGTCTCGTCGTAGTATTGCTCTTCTCCTCGTGCGAGCGTTTCGGGGGCAGACGGCGGCCCTATCGCTCACGAGCACATGCACACACGGGTATTATGGGCTTATCTCATCTCGCGCAGCCCGTGCTAGGCCGCGGCTCGGTCCTCCGGGCTACTTTACTAATAACCTTTTTCTTATCAGGCACCCTGCACCTCTGCCTGTGATCAAAGACCCAATTAATGGAGCGGGGAAAGGTGAAGCATTCAAATAATAGAGACAGCTGTTTTTCTCTGTTTGAAAGAATCCATTTGTATTGTTATCGGTGGAGAACAGTTCTCCAGACCTCGCTTAATTGAGGGTCTGTCAATTCTCGCCACTTGATAAAAAACGAGAGTTGAAACGCGCGAAAGGTGGTAAGTGGCAGGAATATCAGTGTTTCAACTCATCCTCGGCTTTATGATCTCTTAAACGGTAATAAACGCAGATAAGAGGCGTGAGAGCTTCACAAAAGCATAGACCTCTCGGAAGATTCCTGCGATTCTCTGAAGGTTTTGTCATGGCTGAGCGAACGACGAATCCCGGGGTTCATTTTGGCGTGGGGTGGGGGGGCCGCAATTATAAAGGCTTTCGGCCGGGACGAAGGTAATTGCTGGACTAAATGTGTTGCCTTGTCAATGTTGCTGTCACATTTCTGGACAAAGTGGGCTGAATATTTGACGTATTAACATTTCAACATTAGGTAAAATGTAAAATGGGGGACATGGGAATTAAGTGACACTTTAAATACAGACCTTCCCTTCAGAGAGCATTTACTCTTCAATTCCCAAGGCCACTTATGTTGGGTGTAGCTGGCATTTCAAAGGGCTTTTCAAAGCCTAATTTCACCTCAAGCTTTTCTCCATTCACGTATACAAATATACTGAAGTACAATTTACTCAATCTTTAACAGTATGTCTCTTACTTGAAGTAAAGTTTTAGGTTTGGACACATTTGTTGTAAAAAGGCCATTTAAATTGAGCTTAGAAATGCTTCAAAGTATATAATTCCTACATATTCTGACCAGTTCTATGACATTTCCAGTCCTTCGAGGTTTCTATAGAGATTGCACATGAAAAAAATTAGGCTTGGTAAATCATAATCATGTGATATTAAGTCATAATTATGACACAAGTCAAAATTATATTGACAAAGTTATAACTGACAAGCAATTATAGAATAAAAAGACAACAAAATCGAGATATGTTCAATTATTACATAAAAAGTCAAAATTGTAAGATGAAAAGTCATAGTTATGACAAAAACTATTATGAAAAAAAGTTGAAATTATGACAAAGCCAGTTCTGACTTGGCAAAACTACAAATTCTGAGATAAAAGGTCAAAATTGTGTTCTTATTATGTATACTTTATATGTCATAACTGTGATTTACCAAAGTGCAAATAGGCTTCCATACTGGTGAAATTTGTAGCCTGTGGCATATCTAATATATCTGAATATTCAATAATCTGAAAATGTCATATTAAAATTACCATGAGGTTTTAAAATGTTTTTAAGATTTATCCAAAATTGTCCTGGAAATCACAATGATAACATTCCTACATATTTTCCTGCTTTACATAACCATAGGAACCCTGTAAACAATTAAAAAACATACTTTTACTGGTGCTTACCTTCTTACTGTACCATTTCACACAATCTTGAAGCTTTGTATTATAGCACTTCTCATGTTCCTGCTGCTTTAGAACAAATTTATGTTGTATTTCTAATTTGTAAGTTGCTAAATGAATGAATGCGAACGATGCATCCGAACAGAATGTATGCATTTAGAGTATTTAAAAGACAAAAAGAAATCCAGTCTCCAATGCAGGTATGAACATATTTATTACACAGTAAAGAGTACAACAATACCAGAATCATACTGCAAAGATTCACAGACTGACAGACCATTTACTACAGCCCCCAAAAATGAGAGAATAAAATAAAGAAAACAGATTAAACAAGAAACCACAGTTCTGACATAGTAGACTCAAAAACCCTAGAGTATTTGGAAACGGTGTGACAGAGTCCACACCCTCCCAGCCCACCTGTAACCTGTGGTTCATGTTTACGTTAAGTATTGCACAACGACTTTCATGAGTTTTTTTCACAATAAAGATTTTCAAAAAATCCTACGACTGCCCGTCCTGAACCCACCCGGCCATTTCACTTAATGTTTCCACTGTCCCTTTATTATCCCAAAGTTTAATTCACTTTACAAACTGGAGAAAATAAAAACTTAACACCTGGCAAACAAGGCATGCGCAAATTCACCAGCCATTACTTTTCGCTCACGTTTGGTGCGAATTCCCCATAAACACGAACCTAAACGACACTGACAAGCGGCCAAGCGTGTCTCACAACAGAAGACAGAAATGGGGGAAAGGGGGGTGCAGGAGAAGAGGAGGGCAATAGGAATATATCACATTTCTCATCTTTGACCATGGATTGAATTATAGTGTATATCAAATGGAGTCAACACTCTTAAATCCTTTTTTTTGTGTTTTTTTTACTTTGAGTTGACTCAAAGCGAGTTGTACACGTAACAAACTTAAAATGAACATAACATTTTTTTTTATTTTACGTATTCTATTAATTTTTTTTTTCTCATGAGGTCTGCATTGTTACCAAGTAGTGATATGGTTTGCAGCTATATGAGCTTTTAACTTTGGGTTTAAGTCCTGTTCTCATGTGCCCATTTGGTTTGACTAGACCAGTGTCCGCTCAGCGACTGGTGCTCCTAACGTGCTGTCAGAGGTAGAGTGAGACTTTTTGCCACCGAGGAAAAAAGGTTGTAGCAAAACAGACATACTACATTGGGAAGGAGAAGGAGGAGTTACTTAACGCTTCGTCCGTGCTTATTTTATTCAGGTCACCCTGATCAAACGCACTACACTAACTATATGTATTTTTCAAAAATAGTGTTTCAAGACAGCTTAGCTGGCAGGTTCTCTGGCGATGCGGACAGGTGTCTTACACCTATGTTTTTTTGGATTATTTAACCGTAGCATGCCGGAGGAGGCCGGGACTGCGTCCAGAGCCAGCCGCTCCTTCTAAGAGGTCAAATGCGCAGCGTTTAGCACCATGGTTTGGGGACGTGAGCCGTCAGAGTGCAGTTAAGTGCCCGTTTAGACCCCTCTTCCTCTTAAGCCATTGACGAGGTTGTTTAGTTTTAGATTCTCACATGGCTTTTAATCTTGAGCTGAAACACTTGAAGGTTTGGTTATGCGCCGTTTATGAACGAGAAGAGCTTCGGTTCGGTTGGGCTGGTTGCCTTTTGGAGCGGCATTCTTATGACAAATCAGTTTCGAGGAATGATACGAAAAGAAAAGCGACGACAGTGAAACTCGCCCTGCAGGATCTACATATGGGATCTGCCTTTTCGATTATTGCTCAATCATTCAGACCGCCTCATCCACACATGAAACTCTCTTTTCTTAGGAACTGCTACATGGTTTTGAGTGGCTCCTCCTCCCTATGAGCTGAATAGGGCTGGTCTTGGCTCTGGACAGGGGAGAGTTAAAGGTTTTCAAATGGAAACATTGCTCAGTGTGGCTTCCCCTGATAAACACATGGAGAAAACAAGAATGCATTGGAGTCTCTTTTGTCATGTTTAAATCTTGGATAAAATCAGGTTTTGGTCCTTCATGTCTGTCTTTGGCTGTCTTCCATGTTAATTATTTTGTAATACTGTGTATCCTGGTGCTCTGCAATGTTAAAGCTGTCTGTTTTACACCTCTGCATTTGGAAAGTTAGTTTCTTAGTGTCTTTTTTGTAAATTTTTTTCTTTTTTTGTAGAAAACAAAAACAACATATACCATAGCGTTCAGTATGCATATGCATGCACTGTCCTTAACTATTCAAAACAACATTTTTAGAAAAAAATGTTAACAAAAGCAGATTGTGATACTTCTGTTTTCTTTTTTTCTATTTTCTTTTTTTCCCCTCTTTTTTTTCATCGATTTTTCTCCATTTTTTAACAAGAAAATCACAGATATGTAACGAAGCACTCCAAAGATAACCTATGAAGTGAAGATCCCTATGGAAAAAAAAAACTGCCAAAAGAAGCATGCTGAGAGAAACCGTGACAGTGCAAATACATTTATGTACGTCCCATGTACAAAAACATTTATGTTAGCATTCCATGTAACATGCTAGTTCTCAGAAAAAAACATCTGAATGAGACTAAAGTAGCAGCTCTGAGAGATAGCGTTTGTCTTTTGAGGACAATGGGAAAAGTGTTTTTTCTTCTTAGAGAACTACAAGGGGACTAGCACAAACACATACGAATAGAAAAGCAGCTTGCGAGAGAGAGAGCGAGGCGAGAGAAAAAAAGAGAAAATATGTTCTTCCTTTTTGCACCTAGAAAGACTAAAAAGTTGTGACCGTGGTTTAAACTATTAATGCGTCGTCACAATTGTCCAGCACATGTACAATAAATAACCATTGGAGACGACACAGGACACAAGTGTTTAACACAATGAGATCTAGAGGGGCAAAAAGAAGCAGAACGGGGTTAGAGATTAGGACAGAACATAGGCAGGACAGGAGAGGGCTCCAACAGCCAGTGATTTATGGGTAATTTCTCAGCCCTTTGTTTCCCAGTGGCTGTCACAGTGAGGTTCTGACAGTCCTGCTCTGGTGGGCCGATGACTTCACTTCCTGTTTTGGGAGCTGATGGAGTGCATTTGGGATCAGAGCTCAGAGCGCATCCTTCATTACGCCGTGTGGTACTCAACATCCAGCACGGGCCCTCCTCGCCCCTACATTCCTCAGTGAAACAGCCTTTTATTTCTCAGACCATTGACCTGGATATTATCTTGCAGAAGAGAGACGAACATCTGCGTTCCTTCACAATCCGCTGCACATCTGCAGAGTTCAGTGCGCGAGCGAGAAACGCCATCCGCCGTCTACTCCACCACGTCCGATGCAGATGCCCTTCATGGCGTGTTTTTTTCCCTCAACAACGTTGTGTAGACTTCTTTACAAGGAACGCTGTCTTTTTGTCTTGATAATATTCGGAGTCTTTGCTTACATCAGCTATGAAGTATTTCCTTGGTTTTTGTCATTTAAAGTGTCTTTTAATGAGGTCAAATAGTTTCATATCCCAGCTACTGGATAAAGAGCTTTGAGAACAGAATGAAGGAGGAAAAAAAACAATACAAACAAACGTAACGAAGGGGAGGTCAGATATACTCATCGAGAGGTCTTGGCTGTCTACTCCATTTGTCTTCTTATTTACAAGAATGTAAGAGAGCCACAACAACAATAAAGGACATTATCAACAATAATCGATAATAGTTGTAGTAACAATAAAGAACAATGAGAATTTCAAACAAAGAATATCTTTGCGTTCTCTATCATGGCAAGTCAATATGACCCGAAATGGACCTCCTGTGGGCTAATCGCCCTAAGTACAGTCTCTTCTTTGTTAGTGCGCTAGATTTAGCATTTTGGAGCGAGTGAGGCAGGTGAGTCAGTCCCCGGTCGGCTGAGGCATCAGGAACGGCCTGCTCGGGGATCTAGCGTGGCGTGGTCTCTATGGTGGAGGGCGTGCCGGGCGTGGCCGAGCGAGGGGTAGCGGCAGACGGTGTGTCCGCCGGGCTGCCTGCGCCGCTGCTGGGGGTGGCCGAGGAGCTGACGGTGGCGGGGGTCTCACCTTGCTGCTGAGCCTGCAGAGTCTGGCCACATACGTGGTGGTGCTTTTCCCAGTCCTTGTGCTGGCAGAAGGAACCGCAGTAACGCGCCGTGTTGCAGCCGCTGCAGGTCTCGCTCGCCTTGCGCCCGCAATTCCAGCAGCTCTGCACGAGAAAGAGGGGGAAGGGAGGTTTAAGATGTGATATATTTAAAAAAAACTTGCATTTCTTTCCATGGGTATTATCTCAATTAGGAAATAATGGATGCACAGACCTTTGAGAAAAACGAGCGAAAGTCTCGGCTCATTAGCAGCAAACATTTCCCATTTGACTTTAAGTCTAAATAGAGAATTCTGCTTTATTTTTCTTTGGATCTCCCTGCTTTGAAAACACGGAAATAATGAGCTAGCTAGGGAAAAACGCAGTCATTTTACCCAGTTCCACATGGCGCTACGTGAGGACACATTTGTAACAGGTTAACTACAAAACGCTCAAAGATCACACAGAAACTCAGGTTACCACTGTGGCCTCTTTGTGTTTGTCTCCAGGCCAAATAAGAGCAATTATCACAAAGTCTCAAATGCGTCCCAGAGACAAGAAGCCAGAGTTATAAACGGCTACCGACGCAATCCTCCAGGGGGACGTGCATAAACATGGCTCGTGCAATTAAACTCAGATGCATGCCGCCTTTCTCTGCTAACTGATTAAACGAGCCGTACCCCCGCTGTGCGCAGACACTCTGCGCTCCCTTCCCAATTTCCCTCATCCAAATCAGTACCACCTTAACTGTCCACATGTTTCATTTAGAGGAGGAAAAGCGCCGCTCTGCCTGAGGTGATAAATGCAATGTTATATTCCTCGGCTCTGCATGACACCGGGCTGCATGATGAATTATCTGGGACACTATCTCTTCCCCCTGTGCTTTTCATATGATATCCATGTTTTCCTAAAGATTTCCATACTAAGGAGATCGAATGTAAGCCATGGAACTAAAACAGCCCAGCCAAGTAAATCAGGCATGTACACATTACATAAAATAAAATAAACTCCCCAAGATGATATGCAAAATATAATCAATTATGGAATATATTACCATCCCAATGAATCATTGTGCAGTACGTGAATGTTGCAGCTGTTCGCTAATACAATAACAATGTGCGGTAGGCGTACAAGCTGTTACCTCACTAGAGTCCTCCTGCTGGTTGATGACTGACAGCGCGTCCTCTGCCGCTTGTCTCTTGGCATCGGCCACAGTGCGCTCCATCTTGGCTCGCTCGGTGCTGATCATCTCATGGGCCTTGCGCTCGGCCTCTGACACGGCTTTCTGCAGCTCAGACATGGCCTGCCTCTTCACCTCATTCACAGCCTCTTCTGAAAGAAAGAGCACAGTGCTTTTAAGTGTTCAGGGCACAGCAACAGGAACCCAGCAAATAGTTCAGAGAGAATAAATGATGTTAACATAACATAATCTGTCTGCTGTTCATTGTAAATCAGAATTTTCCATCGAAGCTACAACATCTAAATTAACTGGTTTTATTGAAGTTCAAAATATTGTTTGATATGACTAAATCAACCTGTCAAATTTATCAAGTAAATTTTAAGGGTCAGACCAGGAAGAAATACATAGCTGCACATACACTTGATATCTCACAACAACAGCCAAAGATGTATGTATATATGTATGTATGGCAGGCCTAAAAAAACAATTGAAAACCACACTAATGCACATTCAATAAATTGAAAGTGCTTATGCCAAAAACCTCTATATATACATACACACACACACACAATCACCTAACAATAGTATCTGACATTTTAATTCATTCAAAGTATCTCAACAGCTAATTCTCATGCATTTTGAAAACTAATTTTATGTTGTTTAATTGATCCTATTGGCTTGTTTTGTTCAAAAGCAGCTGAGAGATTAATCTGGGGATTAATTAGAAACATCAATTTTTATTTGAATGGGCTCAGATGACTTTCTGTGTTTGCTGCATACAAATAAACAAGAAAAAGTGCTTTTGTTTTGCCTCAAACCAAAGACTTGACTGTAGTGCACAAGGCAGATTACAGGTAATCCTTGATATTTTTCCCTCTGAAGTATAAATGTATTTCCTTGAACTCGTACTTTATCTGTACTTTTACATTGTTATCCCATTAACCGTAAATACTTCTGGCTGGAAAACTCATCTCAAGAGCAGACTAGGGTTCTTTTTTTGTGTTTGTTTGTTTTCATTGTTCAAGGCTGCAGCCTGACTAATTGCATATGCAAATCGGGCAATTTATATTTAAATTATGCATTTCAATTGCACCCCCAAAGGCCCATGCAGATCAGGATATGGCACGGTGCGAAAAAGGGCTTGAATATACATCGCCTACGGTACGCAATCTTTCTATAAAAAAAAAGGACATTCACCCCTTATTACACTGTGGCAACTTGTGAAGACTGCTTTAAGGCAGTTGTGACTCTTAAACACTTTTAGCTTGGTTGTGTAACCATCACTAGAGGCGTACAATGGTTTTGAAAAAGGCATGCTGTTCTTGAGGAGTTTTAATAGACTAAACTGTCATGGTAGTCTCTTGTTCTGCAGAAATGGATGGCTGTGGTTGCGCAGACCCTCCTCCCCAGTCTTAAATATGAAGGATTATAGAGCCAGGGACATTTTCATCAAGACTGGACTGAATTGTAAAACCATGGTGGTTTGGTGCACAAAGTAGTCCTCTTGATGGGCTGAGGTCACGGAAAATGCACCACACTCCCTGATACATTTTACTGCATTTATATATGACTATTCAGATGGAATTTCAATCTGTGGTGATTTGTTTAGGGTGTTACTATCGCCGTTGTGATGCAAAGGTAACGTATTAGCTAAAACTTCGACTTAGACTGTCATTTGTAACATCACTTTCATGGAAAGACTTGTTTGCTTTTATAAAGCCTTTGGTAAGACCACACAGCAAAGACAAACTGCTTTAGCAGATGCCTCTATCGTGTATGAGGCCAAGGTAAACAATCTGCTATTACAGTCCATCACTTGTCGTATTTCACACAGATCAACTGCTCTTTAAACAAAGCCTTTTAATATCTTTATCCGTCTTTTAACCAGCTCCTCTGCTGTGATAAAACAGAGTGCCGTGGAGAGCTGAGAGCCTGTTGCACAGCTAATGGCAGGAGTGCTGAAGTGCTGTAAAGGCTGGGAGCACTTATGTGTCCTGTTCAGCCAGAGCAATAAAAGAGCTTTATGATCTGACATCACTGTTGGAATGTGTAGAGGTGCTTCCAGCGAAGCCAATCACTGAACTGCCCAACACACGACTAGGGGAACATTACAGGAGTCAAACAAAATGCCACAAAAACAGACAGACATTTCAAAACTCACTAAACCTTCCAAGTGTTTTATCAGCTTCTAAAGATTTTTCATAATGTTTGCTTCAAAGAATGTTTTAAATAAAATGCATAATGACTAAACCTTCCAAGTGTTACATCTACTTCTCAAGATTTTTGTTAATGTTGGTTTTAAATTAAATGCATGATGACTAAATCTTATTTTTGTCTTTAAAAGAGAACATTTATTTTCTATTTCTATTGTCATTTTTTGCAAATATGCATGAAAAGAAAACAATAATAGTAGCTTAAAAGCATTACAGGAATTCAATCTGTGAAATATTTAATTTTTTATTTATTAAATGTATCCTTTATTTATTTGTAAATATGCATTTATTTATTTATTGTTCTTCTGTTTTACTAAGATACTAATATTTGTGCTTTTTTGCCAAGTGTCCCAACGTCGTTATATATGCATCATTTCTTGTGCATTTCATTTGAATTTTTCCCCCTGATTTTTCACAAGAACCGCAAACTCAGGAAAACAACTGTTATGTCGAGTTCACACCAGAGTTTGGTGTGACACCGACCAGGTTCCCACCTGACTGCAGTTCTGCATACAAATATCTAACTGACTGATTGAATTTCAGAGAGCTTTTAAATCACAGACAGGCTTTGAAAGAGCTCTGTCTGAATAATTTAGCTTTGATTTTCCACCTGTGCTTATGAGTGTGTGTGCGCATGTAAAAAAAAAAAAGAAAAAGAAAAAAGATGGCATGCTAACCGGCTTTCTTCCAGATTTCTTCAGGTACGTATCCAGACACTGGCCTGTGAAGGAGCTCCCTATGGACATCTGGAAGAGAGAGAAGAAAGGACACTTCATTTACAATGAACTCAATATATGGTACAACACAACTGACTGTAAATCTGTTCTTTTTAAGATCAGACATATCAGTTTTAAATAAACAAATAGATGTATGAAATAGAACATACTCTTTTCAGGTGAAAAAGACATCTCAGACAAACATCTTGTGCTGAATAAGTGTTACCTAAAGCATTGCTTTCTTGGCTGGCAGGGCTCTGTTGTCTGGACTGACTGCTGCTGGAGCTGCTGGTCTTTTTAAGATCTTCAGCATCACTATAACGACGGATCCAGTAGTTGAGCTCCTCCCGGTCGGCCTCCTGGCACCTCCTCAATACCGTCAGTGAGCGACGTGTCTTCTCCACCATATCCATAATGCAGTTCAGGAGCTGCGGGGGAGAAGCAGGCAGAATGTTACCAACACAACATCTGCTCTAAATAGAAATAACAAATTTAGATATAAAAACATGATGTTAAAGGCTGGCATTGAATGATGACTCACACCTCTATATGTTTACAGTCACTAAAGCACTAATAATGCCAACCCCTGACAAAAAGTTAATGCTCTGAAGTTGCTCTTTTATAGCTCAGGAGACCTTACAACTTAAATAACAACTGATGTTTCTCCTAAAACTTATTAGAAAAAACTGTACACAAATTAATTTAGATATTTTAGAAAACTTTGAAAGACATGTTTGCATTCATGTTAACATCTTAGATTTTGGTATCTTTCACAAAAAAACAGGAGACTTGAAGCTAAAATCTCCAGTTGAGCTCAATATAATCTCATTGTTGTCTAGAAGATTGCAAAAAAACAAAAAAAACAAAAACATGCAAACACAGAAACGTACCAGCAAACACACTTTTTGTGTCGTATTCTCTCTCTCACACACACATACTTAGGATAGTAATAAAAAATGTTATTACTTTTCTTACATGGTCAAGGTGCTTCCACTCTTCTGCCCATTCTCTGTCTGTAAGTCTGTGATCTATGACTTCCTCCTGGCGCGTGCTGCCGTGCATCCCTGACACAGAACGAGAGAAAAAGAAAGAGCGAGTGTTAAACGTGTTACTATTTGGGCCTCGGTTTTCCATTTCTCTTGCTTGCCCTCAGCGGCATGTCGTGGCCGTCTGTTTCACAGCCATAGCTCACCCGCTTCCTGACATCCTCCATCGCTCACACACTCTTCATTCCTCACATGCTCTCATCCCTCACTCCTCTCTCCCATGCAGCCTGCGGGCACGCTCTCTCGCTCTCTCCACACAGCACCAGAGCTGCCAGGCTTATGCATATCTCGTGCATATATCACTGGCTAACGTGCTTGAGTATTTTTAGCACATTTAAACCCGATATGGAGAGTTGGTTTTATGTAAACCTCAAATCATTTTTAAAAGAGTTTATGTTCCTGATCCAACTAAGCCTCGCCTGGTTTAACTTCTAAGAGTCTGAGTGGCATGCAGTGGACTTTTGATGATTTGAGGCATTGGCAAAGTCAGCCTCGGAGAATGGGGCTTCTGTTGCTTTTATTTTCTCGAAATAATCTGAGAAATGTATTTAAGGTTTTACAAAATCCATCCAAAATAAGTTTTTGTTCACATAATATGAATACTGTGTATATTTATTATGTATATATAATTTATGAAAAATATGTTATGTTTATATGTTAAAATAAATTTAAATATAAAATATAAGAATATAAATATATACATGTAAATATTAAAAAAATATTTACTGTATGTGTGTGTATTTACAGGTGCATCTCAATAAATTAGAATGTTGTGGAAAAGTTCATTTATTTTAGTAATTCAACTCAAATTGTAAAACAGGCTCAGGAAACCTTTGCAGGTGTTTTGAGTTGATTAGCCGATTGGCATGTCACCATATTGTAATTTGTTGAGATAGTGAATTGGTGGGTTTTTGTTAAATGTGAGCCAAAATCATCACAATTAAAAGAACCAAAGACTTGAACTACTTCAGTCTGTGTGCACTGAATTTTTTTAAAAACACGAGTTTCACAATTTGAGTTGAATTACTGAAATAAATGAACTTTTTCACGACATTCTAATTTATTGAGATGCACCTGTATATATACATAATAAATATACCCAGTACACATATATATATTATGTAAACTACTTTTATTTTGGATGCGATTAATCGTTTAACAGCACTAAAAAAAGACTTTCTGTATGTCTACTGTCTTGTAATTATTTTTAATTTTAATTTACATTTTATTATCAGTTATTATTTATTTAATTAAGTAAGCACCTTTTCCTTTAAAAAAAACCCTTCTACAGTGATTTTCTATATTCCTGGTGTCTATTAAAGACTATGAACTGAATTTGAGCCTCATTTTATTTGAAACTTGTTTTTACCCTCAAAATTTATAGGGGTCTTGCATCAAAATGGAATATGTTATTCACAAAAAGTTTGAGGATTGGAGGCATTGGTGACCGCAGCCGTGGAGAAGGACTCTAACAATCTTTCACAGCACAGTAATGCTCTTATTAATGACTGTACCCAGATGCTGCTGTAATCTCTCTCTTACCCAGAGGCCGAGGGCGGTCGCGGAGCTCGCGGTGGTTGGGGTGGCGATAGGAATCTCTGTAGTGGTGTGCGATGGCCATGTCGTCCAGACGGTAGTGCTGTGGAGGGGGCGGGGTGGGGTGCGGCAGGCCGTTGGGCTGGTAGGAGAGCCCGCTGGAGGGGCTGAAGCGCTGGCCAGGGCTGATAGTGCAGGGCCTCTTGTTGGGGTGCTCGGGATGGAGCGGCTCCCGCTCAAAGCCGTTCTCTTTGGTTCTGGAAGGAGACAGAAGTATCCAGAGTGAGGAACAGGAAGAAAGGAGCAGAAGTGTAAGAACACTAGACTGATATAAACTGATAGATAGAACAGTAGAATGACAGAACGATAGATAGAACTATAGAAACAACGACAGATAGATAGATAGATAGATAGATGATAGTCAAGTCAAATCAAATCAAGTCACCTTTATTTATATAGCACTTTTAACAATACAGATTGTGTCAAATGATAGAACGGCAGAACGATAGCACAGTAGAATGATAGATAGATATATAGATAACTAGAACGATAGATAGAATGATAGAATGATAGATAGATATATAGATTGCTAGAATGATAGAACGATAGATATATAGAACGATAGATAGAACGACAATGATAGAATGATAGACAGAATGACAGAACGATAGAACGAACAACAACGATAGAACGATAGATAGAATGACAGAACGATAGATAGAACGACAATGATAGAATGATAGAACGATAGACAGAATGACAGAACGATAGAACGAACGACAACGATAGATAGAATGATAGAACGATAGACAGATAGAATGAACAAACGATGGAACGAAAGATAGAATAGATAGATAGACCGATAGATAGAATGATAGAACGATAGCTAGACAGAGATTCTTCTACACAACTGGTTGTCTTTCCAGACATGTCAGGGAAAATGATGACTCACTAGTGTCTTTTATTTTTGTGTTTTACCACTCCAACAAGACAGACACTGTCTGACATTGAGATGTCTTCTGAGGACAGTGTGTTCATTGATGTAATGTACTTTCCTCCGCTGTGGGTCGAGGGAGAATGTGAAACTGCACCTAAGGCAGTAAGAGTCTGTCATCTAATGTGCTAAGTAGAAAAGCAGCTTCAATGCCTCCGTCGAGCACTTTGTTGTCAGTAAAAAAACTTGTGTGGTCTTGACAGAGCACACAAGGACCGTAAGAGATGTGCACTTACAGGACTCGCTCTGTGCACCTAAACCTTAGGGCTTTCACGTTGCTCTGCCCTTCACTTTCATGTGTCACGGGTCCAGGTGTTCGCAGATGCTGGTACTCATGTGAGTCGCTGTGTGTGTGTTGTGAGGCGGTCGTCCCTCAGTTACCTCTGAAAAACACTGAACTTCCTAATGAGCTGCTTTTATGAGCTGCTAATGTGCATCCATCACCGTCCATATGCTCCTCAAAGCCACCTCTCTCCTCCACCCACACCTCCAAAACACAGCTGCCTTTATTTTACCCCAGTCTCATACATATTAATACCAATTCTAATTCTATCTATTCTTCATGAACTTGTGTCTCTGATTAAGGTACGGTATGTGATTTCCATGTGCTCATGTCTCCCATGTCTTTTTTCCCATCCACAAAACGTCTTTTTTGATCTATTAATTTATTTTCTTTGCAATTTATTTATTGTATTTTATTACACAGGTCTGAAATTCCCAATATTACTTAGCAAAATTAATTTTTATACTTTATATTTTTATTTGTGTAAAATAGTCTTTAATTCAAATGTATTTAAAATTGTGTAATGTTTTCATGTGGCACATGCTAAACAAACAAACATGAAAATAATTATAATACAAAGAAAATAAATATAAATAATATACAATACAATATAATATAAAATATATACAATATAAATTATTATAATTTTTTTATTCAGCAAGGATGTATTCAATTAAAAAAAAAGAGAGTAAATGCATTTATAATATTAAAAAAGTTTCCTATTTTAAATAAATGCTGTTCTTTTGACTAGGTCTGCCACTAACGACTATTTTTATTTAGATTAATCTATCAACTAATTTATCGATTAATCGATTAATCTAAACGATTAATTTCCCACCAAAAATCAACAATTTTACTATATTTTATTAAACCAAATGAAATCCAAATTTCTATGAAATCCTTTTTTTAAAGCAAAAGTGAAGTGCAACATAAAGTGCAAGAAGCAAGTGTCCATCTCATAGTCCAAATCACTGAAATCAAAGTTCAGTATTATAGTGTAAGAATGACAACATATCCACGCGTTCTAGTCTACTAATAATACAATTATAATGAAAAAAAAACACTTTTTAAAGGAGTATTTACCAGAAATGTTATTTACCAGAATTTATTTAGGAAAAAATTTTAAATGTGCAGTATTTCTGAAAAGAAAGAAAGAAAAAAAAACTAAAAAAATATATAACAAATCAATTAATTGGAGATGCTTTTAATTATTAAAATCGAATGCAACCATTAAAATGGAATCCAGAAAATAATGGAAAACAGAATTTGGTAAAGATAAAACTGTAAAACTCAATTAATTAGACAGGCTTTTTGATTAATAAAATGTAATTTTTAACCATTAAAACAGTATAGAAAAATGAAAATGGAAAAAAACTGAATTTGGAAATAAAACGGATTTCATTTTTTGTGGTAATAAAAATAGATGTAAGTGAACAATAGCCTTTAAAATTACTTAAAATACATATATAATAACAATGATGCAATAATAATTAGTTCAAATAAAATATCAAAAGCAAGAAATCATATGGTTTTATTGAACAAAACTGTTAAAATACATAATGTATTATAAACAATAGCGCTAATGTACATTACGCATTACAACAAAGGCCTGCAGAGGGAGCCAACGGCCTGACGATTATTTTTAAACATTTCTGTGCGATCTAATCCTTGTTTAATATTGACCAAGCACCATTTAATTCAAATGTCCACTTAATCTTTAATATTTAGCCATTTCTTTAGGACAGAAATGCTATAGCCACTGTAATTAAAAGAATATGTGGATATCAAAACGTGTAAACTCAGAGTGAGGGTTTGAGCTTTTATTTTGAAACCGCGATGCATTCTCCTGTGTTTGCGTAGATTTATATATGATTTACCTTACAAATCTGATGAAATGGCGCATGTTGCGTTCCCAGATGAACGTTATAATAAACCCAAACTCACAACAACATGCAGAGATGGAGTTTGAGATGCTCCACACAAGTAAATGATAACAGCTCCTCTGGAACTACTGTGAACGGAGCCGCTGTTTGACGCACGTACTTAACCTACATGCATGTAAATAATTAAAGTGCATATACTGTATTAGAACTGCATCGCATATAATTATTTAATTAAATCGTCGCGTTTGTGAATTCACAATTATGCTTAATTATGATTTTTAAATGAGTTAAATATATCATGCAGCATTGGAAAACAGTCTAATAATGTGTTTGATGGATTCTCGTCTGTGAAATGCGCCACTTCCAGTATTTTGCCGGTTAGTCGACACGAGCAAAATGAAGTCGAGGATTTAAAATAATCAAATAGTCTAATATAATCGATGAATCGTGACAGCCCTACTTTTGACCTTTCTGTTCCTCAAAGGATCCTGAAAAAAATATCACATTTCCATAAAAATATTAATCAACACAACTGTTTTCAACATTGATAGCAATAAGAAATGTATATATATAAAAAAAAAATTCTCTACTGTATACTGTGTCTGTATATAGTGCATTATTTAATTTTCTGTTTTTCTTATATTAGTGTTATATTCCATCTCTACTGTGTTATTCCTACATATGTCTGCACTATCATGTATGTTGCACTATGTCCGTACTTTCTTCTGCACTGGAAGCTCCTGTCGTCAAGTCAAATTCCTTGTGTGTGTAAACATACTTGGTAATAAAGCTCTTTCTGACTTCTGACTTTCTAAATATATATATATATATTAGGGCTGTCAGTTTAACGTGTTAACTTAATTAATTAGTTATGAAAAAATAACACGATTAAAATATTTTAACGCCGTTAATGCACTGGCCCCGCCCCCAGACCTGTACGTCATCTTACATTTCATACAGTTGACTGTTGACAAATATGAGAATAAATGCAGTTATGCCCTAAAATTCAAGATATTGGGGCAAGAATGCTCCTGTATGAGTTTTTGTCTCATATTTATATCATATGATAAGCGATATCACACGAGCAGGGAGAGCAGTATTACACGAGTGCTGATTTTGTCCCGAATATCACGAGTTTAAATATGATTTTATACAACAGTTCAGTAAATAAGAAGTTGATATTGTGTTATATTTTAAACATATTATTATGTGTTTTTGCTCAATTTTGCAAAGAATATATTACCTTTAAAATAAAGCCATAGCAGAATTGTTGTGCGTCTCTGAGCAACACAGCAGTGTTTAGTTACTGAATGAATCTGCATCAGTAGTGCATTTATAAAGAGAGCCATTTACTTCATTCCTGAATGAATCAGCCGTTTGAACGAATCGAATGAAGACATTTAACGCCACCTGCTGGCAGACTTAGTTTCTTATTTAGAGTATCATTTAATTAATACAAATAATAATAACATTAAAGGGACAGTTCACTCAAAAAATTAAAATTCTGTCATAATTTACTCTCACGTCCCTCATGTCATTCAAACCTTTCTTTTGTGGAACATAAAAGAAGGTATTTATTTTCAAAGACTATAGAATACCCTTAAAGGGACTTTGGCATTTTGAAGACTGTTGGTAACAAAGCTGTTTTGGTTACCAATGACTTTCATTGTATGAACAAACAATACTGAGATGTTTCTCAAATGATCTTCTTTTATGTTCCATCGTTTATGTTAGGCCGTTGTAGCCTAAATGTTTATGTGTAATAATTTTGTTGTTGTTGAATGAAATAAGAATATTTCTAAAGCTACAATTTGTAATACTTGATACTTTCTCATTTAACACAAAAATATCTTTAAATAATCTTTTGTGGGTATTTTCACAGTCAAATTTATTTTGCGATTAATTGCGATTAATTAATCGAAACATCAAGTAATTAATTCGATAAAAATGTTTAATAGACTGACAGCCCTAATATATATATATATATATATATATATATATATATATATATATATATATATATATATATATATCAAAGAGAAAGCAGTTGTTTTAAATTGAAATAATATTTTGCAGTACTACTGTTTTGTGCTGTATTGTTGATCAAACAAATGGAGCTTTGATGAACATATAAGACTTCTTTCAAATACATTAAATACAAATCTTACAGAGGCCACATTTTTTTACTCTATACAACTAAGATCTCATTGACAGGCCTTGTGTGTAAGCATTTTAAAATGCCAGGTAACATCTTAAATTACCTTAGTTTACAAGACTGTGGGGATCATTGACAGCTGTGAACTAAATCTGAACCTCATTTTGAATTCACTTTTTTTTTGGATTTTCAAATATATAAGGGTTGTGCAGCACAATGGAATATTTTATTCAAATAAGTCTCGGCACACATTTCTCTTCTAAATGAGGCGAGTCGTACTAAGAATGCATTGTGGGGTGCGCTTCTCTCCGTAGCCGTTTCCCGATTCCTTTGATATTAATCAGACTGAAGTGACCGTATATTGTGCTCTGTGATTAAGGACAGCATTGCTCCCTTTCAAATTCCAATATTGCTTTCTCTTTATTTTGCACCTCCTCATTCTGAGTGCAGAGAGTCGAGTCGAGCTGAGCCGAGCTAAGCAGAAATAGAAGCGCTTAGCCAGCCGTATACGAGCTGAGTCTAATCTGTATGTGTTATCAGCCATGTCCCTAGGCTCACCTAGCCATACATTAGAGCTCACGCAAAAATGCAGGTATTACATTAAAAAAAGAGACACATATAAAGAAAGAGAAAAATAGAGAGCTGTATATTCTTCTCTAATAACCATGGGGACCTGAGCTGATATGTATTCATATAAGATAGCATATTAAAAATGGTATTTCCTCTCTGAAAAGAAGAAATAATTCTGAGCTCCTGGGAGTGAACTGGTATATAAAAGCTTTTATATCTTTTCTCTCAGGCCGCAACAGACATGTAGCCTTGCTCTAGTTTTATAGTGCAAATTCTCACTCATGTTCATCTCAACAGGAAGCCTCTATAGAATCTACCTGCATTCTCCAGATGTGTCTGGTTCCTCCTGGTTCTGCTCCATTAAAGGATGAAAACCCAAATGATGCATGACAATATAGACACTCATAACCTGCTGCAACATTTCTACAGCCCTCCAGCTGTTTTACAAGCATGCATTTTGTGGTCTATAGTTGTGTGTGGGTGCCTAAAGTCCACTTGCTAACAAATGAATGCTCAAATAAACATTTATCGACAAAAAATAAATTATTATCAGATTTTGTGAGAGATTTTTCATTGTCATTACAACTCACTTTCGTTGATTATGCAGTTTTATACCTTGCTAACTTAAACATTTGGTTTTGTGATTCGGTGATAAACATTCAACATTGCTGTTGTGAATTTAAACTGTCAGAATGACTTGTGATAGTCTCTGTGATAAATTTGCTGTCTTTTTTTAACGAAAACATAATATTAAATAAAAGTAGAAATGTATTTACATTTATACTTATAAATTACATTAAAAAAAATTATTTGTATTTTGTCTCAAAGCAAATTAAATGTTTGGGTTTTTTTGGCAAGGGAAAATATAGTGTGACTCTTTGAATTCCAACAAAACTACATGACTGATTGATAATGATGTTCATTCACAGTTCGCTCACCTGTCAGGCGTTCTTCTCTTGCCGTTCTCGTTGACGTCCATCAAGAGTTCAGACGAGTCGACAGGTGACGTGGTGCTTGTGTCCAACAGGAGTTGCTCATGTTGGGCGAGATACTGAGCCGGGTTCTGCTTGGCCAGCCGTGCACAGTGCACCAGCTCCCTCTGCAGTAGCGGCAGATTGGCCTGAAGGGGGAGATAGCGGTCAGGATGTAGCTGAGCAGATGTAGCACTATGAAGCTGTCCACAGCCAGAGCCTCTAAACACCGCTTTTTGTTTACTCATTATTATCATTACAGGTACATTCTTCCAAAATAAAGACACTCTCGCACCGTTTCGAGCAGCACTCTATTGTGACCTGAAACATGCATTAGTGCCCTGGGCCCTTGATATGAGCAATCATGGTCAACATAGAAAGTGACATCTTCAAAGCAGATGGTTTGGGGTGGGGGGGTTGGGGGGGGACACGTTCGCTTTCTGTCTGTCTCATTTCCTCTGCATCTCCGTGGTGATTACTAGCTAGCTTGGCTTTCTCTTGGAGGCACTTGGAGGGCATCGCCGCTTCAAAGACACTGAGGAGCATTTTCACGGCAGATGAAAGGTTTTTGTGAATCCCCATCCAGCAACAGTCGGACTATTGCAGCATCTAAACAGCACAAGGTGTTAGTTGGAGGATGATGTCTATTTTCTCTCTTTCTGTGCTTTCTTAATCTCTGTTTTCTTTATTTTCTTTCTCTATGGCCTGTGACTCTGATCTAAGACTATAATCAAACATCTTTTCAGATCTGGAATATTCTTCAGTGTACTCCCACTGTGCGCCTTTTCAGTGATGTAATGGCTAAAATTAGGAGCGGTGCGTTGATTGAATATTGAACGAAGCACAATGAAAGCACAGAGTTTAAAGAAAATGTGGCCAAAATTTTGCTGGTCATGATGAAGATTAAATGGCAAAAAGAAAAAAATGAAAACATAAAAATGTAAATAAATAAAAGTTATTCTGATTTATTTTAATGATGATAATGATAGGGATTGTTTATAAAGGACTGCCTGGTCGCCAGCTGTATGAGGTAATGGTCTGTTAGTAGTTTATGCTGATAATTACCAGAGGCCAGTGAAATTGCTTTGACCCTCATTGACCTCAGACTTTCATTAAATGGAGGTCCTCATAGTTAGTGACAGTTCACATACACCATGTACACTGCAAAAATGATTTTCTTAATCAGTATTTTTGTCTTGCTTCTCAGTCTTATATCAAGAAACATTTACTTGAGAAGCAAAATGACTTAAGAATTTTCTAAAAAATTAATCAAAATTAATTAACGTTATGAATAAGAAATACAATATCTGCCAATGGGGTAAGAAAAATAAAACTTGTTTTGTTTTTACACTATTGGCAGATATATTTCTTATTTAAACTCCCCTAATTTTGACACATTTTATAGAAAACAAGACTTGATATCACAAGTAATTTTGCTTTTAATCTTAATTCATCTTGCTTTAAGAATGTTTCGATATTTTACTGGAAAACAAGACAAAACACTGAGGAAGAAAGTAATTCTTGCAGTGTATTTCAAGATAACGAATAAGAAAAGCTTATTCATCCATAAAAATTAGAACAGTCTAATTTGCAATTTTATTGTTAATCATTATCGATTTTTTAATTCAATCCAGTAAGACTATAAACATGCAAAGATTTGACATTTGCTTTGATTATGTCTAAGTGTGTTCTCCAGCTCCTGTGTGGTCCATTAGCACACAGCTAGTTGGAAACCAGCATATCAAACACAAGCCGCAAAGCAGTTTGCCACGTATATGTAATCCTCACTTCCTCTGCACCGCTAGCATGTGGTGAAGCGCCGACTATGTCACGCTGAGTACGTCTCTGAGCAATGAGGCACAGAGCCGCAGAGGAACACATGTGCTTACAGGCTTTATGGAGCCTGCTGAACGAAACGGCGGCTAAATATTACAAATTTATCAGACGAGGAATCCATTTACAGAAATCATAAACAAAAGCCATCAGCACAAAGGCCGTCAGCTGGCGACGAATTTGGATTACATCATTAGTGTGATGCACGCTGCCCTTCCTGTAAACACTTCCCCGCAAAACCCAACTCTGACGGGAGGGTCGCTAGACAACATTAGCCTAATGAAAAAAACGCTGCTAATGCACATTGTTGCAGCTGCGCTTCTGCACACTTATAAAAGCCCCTGTTCCCACAGCCATATGGTATTTGTCATTAAAGGCTCCTTTGAGGAAAACCACTAAAATTAGACGAAAGGGAGAGAGGGAGCGAGACAAAAAAAAAACACAAGTTGCATCTTTGATACCAACCCTCCTGACTGGATGATACAGTAACCATATGGTGTGGAGCTGCGTGAGAGCGAGCGAGCGAGTCAGGGAAGTGTCCCTGTATGCTTCTCTGCTTCCGTCAGCGACCGGAGCAACCTCTAATGGGACCAATTTCTGTGCGACAGAGCCGGCCAGGACAAGCAGTGGACAAGATGAAATGCCTCCGAACGGCGTGTCACGAAAACAGACGGACTCCTTTCCATCATTGTCTAATGGAGTAAACAACACAGATTTGATCCATCCCCACTGGTCGCTTATTTCATTATTATGGAAAGGAAGACGGAAGAAAGCAAAGCACGAGAGAAAGATGGGAAACGGGGAGGGGGGTGAAGGTTAGACAAAGAGGGAGGGAATGGGTAGGTTGGAGCGCAGTGCGTAATAGCTGTCACTTACAAGCAGATGAAAACGAATGACTAACGATTGAGGGTGGATGGATACAGCAGTCACCATATGCTCATGAGAATTTAATCTCTATCAAGCGCTGATGTCTATTTGCAACATATGTCATAAATTAACAAATTATACATTCGCTTTGCAGGCTACAATCATTTTAATCTCGAACATGATAATGTGATAAAAAGATATGGCGTGTGTAACTCAAATACTTCCCATGGTCGAAAGAATAATATGCAGAGTGTTTATTTGAATGGTTCGTGTTAAGTGCTCCAACATAAACAGGCCCTGAGACACATTTAACTGTAATGAAATAAGGGCCGCAGTGACAAATGGGCGGCAGAGAGGGCAAAGGTTGATATTCTCCCAGACAACAGATCGTCTTACTGTGGTAATGGTTTCAGATGTGCCCTGCCCTCCAAAATTCGGCGTGTGAGAAAAGCGAATGAATAAATAGAAACAGTGTATAGTGGGACGGGCCCATATGGTGCTGTTATACTGATTAATGTAGGTTCGCATCATTAGATATTAAAAAATAGGTCCCAAGTGATCAAGAAACCTGATGCCTCTTTGAAACCACGTATCCACTTTGGCCATTTAAAAGCGAGGGATGAAAAAAATGGCTGGGAGAAATATGTACATCTGTGCCTTAGTTGTTTAAATGTTTTCCAGATTGCTTGTGCAATACCTTCAAAAAGGGGATGACAAAAGGTCGGAGTGGGAAGTTGGTCGCTTCTTGCAGTTTGGAGTGGAATTCCTCAATGGTTAGAGTGGAGTTCTGCAGGGAGAGAGGAAAAAAGAGCACGCATGAATACATGTGGAAAACATTATGTGATAATATTACTTATTGGAGGCAAAACTATATCCTGCTGAAGATTGAATGATTTGAAGACTGTAATGGGAGGCATATGGATGGCTGTGGTGAAAGGCCTCATAAGGGGAAGTTTGATCTGGAGGCTTTTACATGTGCATGAGCCGACCGCATCTTCATTGCATCAACAAGCACACACACAAACACATATGCAAACAAAACTACAGATGCAGTATCACACTGCGCAGCTTGCTCTGCGAGATAAAACATGGCATAAACATCGTAATGCACACAGAAGATATGTGGCTTTAAAAAAACGTGTCATTCCCTACCGAAATGAAATATATCTCACCCTTGTTAAACTCGGCAGTGTAAAAAAAAAAGAGCAATGACTAATTTCAATCTTTCCTGCTCTCTGCTCTATCATCTTTTAACAGACTGATAGAACACTATTTTCAATTTTCTACATGTTATTTCCAAGAGAGCTAGCGGAAGGAAAGATGGGAAAGAGAGCGGGAAGTCGTACATTTGAGAAAAATACACAGCTTTTTTTCTCCCCTCATTTCCCAGACCTGAATTTTGTTACATTAGGCTTACATCTGTTCGGCCAGATTGCAGCGGCCTGTTTTGACAGCCAGAAAGCCTCCTGAGCTTTTCTCCAGCATCGGCGGCGCTAATTAAGTGTGTCACTCTTTTCAATAAGGCAGAGTGGGGAGCGAATTAAAAAGAGCCACGGAAGCCAAGGGGACACAAGGAAGCCTCTGCATGTAGACACAGCAAAAAATAAACAAATGCCCGCTGAAAAAAAAGAGCTTTCCTTTGGAATGGCTAATTAAAGCAGCCCTTCTCTAGTACAGGCTGCTATTTCACCATTGTTTATTCCATAACTACATATTAACGAAAATAACGCTGTGGTATAGCTTATGGTACACATCTTGTCAAGTGGATTTTTTTTTTCTTTCTTCAGTTATGTTGCTATACTTAGCTACAGATGTGTTCGATTTGATTTATTGTTGTTGGACAAACCTTTATTTTCTATGATGGAAGCCAAACAAGATTTGGTGGCAAAACCTTTTTGGTGACAAGAAAGCAAAACAAATCAATTTCTACTGTCTGTAAACTTTTCAGGAGACACAATAATTATTAGTATCCTGTCAGAGACAACTGTTTTTTCTTCAAGACTATGAGTCAGAATATACACTTTACGCTATGTTAGAAAATCCTTTCCCATTAAAGTCGAGAAGAAATGGAAGTAGTGACAGATGTTTTCTTCCACATTGCGACGTACATTTGAGTGAAACAGATTATCACAAAGAATAAAATGTACTGTAGGGTGGGGACTTGGTTCAATTCATTGGTTGTTGATTGGAATTTAAGATTTCAGAGTAGGGCTGGGCAATATGACCAAAATAATTATCACATTTTTTTTTTCATACCAGTCGATATCGATAATTATCACGATAAAGTTCAAATCTTTATTTATTTCAAGTTTAAAAGCAGATTTTTGCTTTTAAAGGGGTCATCGGATGCCCATTTTCCACAAGTTGATATGATTCTTTAGGGTCTTAATGTAAAGACTAAAACATACTTTGGTTAAAATTTCTCAATGGTAGTGTAAAACAACACCCTTTTTACCCTGTCAAAAACAGCTCTGTTTACAGCAAGCTGTTATGTTGCATGTTGCTTTAAATGCTAATGATCTCTGCTCACCCCGCCCCTCTCTTCTGTGGGTTGACGAGCTGTGCTCTGAGAGACTGTTTACTTTAGCCGCATTTAGCCGCGAAACTTGCTAACTAGCACGTTATTAGGAAAGGCGATTGCAAAGATTAATAAAAAAACCCGTATATTCACTTCTGCTGTAAGTGAAGCTGGATCACTAATGATTCGCGGGAACATAGACGCATTTAGGTAGATTTGGAGGCGCATTCCCATCAAAAACAAACGTAATCCACTGTGTCTTCAGAGGCTCAGATGTCGGGAGTAAATGACGACTACTATGTTTATTATTACATTCAACAACAAAACACCTCAATCGCTTAGGAGACATTCTTGTCTACATTTGCTCCGGCGTCGAAACAATAGCGGACTGAAAACAGCTCACTCAGCGCTGAGGTAAAACGCTAGTGTCAATCAACAATTGTAGGAGGGGCCTTCGTCCGTGTGACGTCACACAGACAAGAAGCTGAAAACGGCCTGATTTGAAAAAGGGGATATTATTTTTAGGGATTAATTAAAAACACTGAGTAGATTTTTATCATTATAGAGTAGATCTGTACACACACTGCCAACACACATTTATGTTCAAACAACATGTAAAAGTGAATTTAGCATCCGATGACCCCTTTAAGTGAAAGTTGTAAAATCCAGACCGTTAATTGTGGTTTTAAACTACTCTTTATGATCAGAGCATGACAAACGCTTCACATTTTTAAATTCTTTACCAGTCATGTTTCCTTTTATATGGTTAAAAGTTGAATTATGACTGTTTTGAGTTTTATTAAAATAAACCATTGGTCTTCCATAGTAGCATACATTTAGATAATGATAACCACAGTTAAAACCACACATATATCACACCTCAATACCATGGTAAAAATGCAACTATATAGTTTCTAGGTTAATTGCATGAAAAACAGTAGTCTAAATACATTTAGCACAAATGCACAAACATTACAGCTTAATCACAAAAAATACTGTAATCATAGATAAACAGTCCGTGTGGCACGGATTCAAATGAATAGCGCTGTTTCATTCCACTTTTGCCGCATAAACATTGTATCGAACATTAATCGAACTCTTGTTATCGTTTTGTCGAAGAAAATTAAATTGCAATAATTATCGCTTTATCACCCAGCCCTATTTCAGAGACAGGTGAATGCAAACTTGCAAGGGTGGGGTTTAAGCTGTCTAAATGATAAGAGAATCCTGCATATGTCACCAGAAAGAAGCCTATCATTTAAAACAAAGATTACATTTTGACAAAAATAAAAACAAGTAAGTGCCACACAGATTGTGACTGCAGACTTACCACAAGCCCCAACACCAGGGTACGCACTCGTTCTCCGATCTCAGGTGAGATGTCATTGCCGAACTGCTGTAGTGTCGTGAGAAAACGTTTGAGCTTGCTGAGCTGTCTTGCACCACAGGCCGGCGGCAGCTGTTGATTGGCCAGTGAGGACGAAGATGATGATGAAGGCCCATTGCTGAAACCATTGGGTGGAGATGGAGCTCCATTCAGTGCAGTGGGAGAGTGACTGGTGCCATTCGTTACTGGAAAACAGAAAGTTTATTATTTCTACATGCCACAAAGAGAACTGTGGCGTTTATTTTTAACCCAAGCATTATGGAATGATCTAAACCCAAAAGATTCATATTAAACATTGCCAGGAACATTCCTTAAAAAGAAGCAGCAAGCAATCCTTTGTCAAAAATGACACTGGCATATGAATGCCTTGTGACTGACGGTGCTTGAATGAAGCTCTTGTGACAATGGAACATTTGTTTTGAATCAGCTACGGCAGCTTTGAGAAGGAAGCCGTACGTTCTTGCTTCCATACATCAGACATATTAAGTCCAGAGGAGGAAAATACATGTGGTCGAGTGCCCCCCGTGCCACGATGAGAAACATACGCGATGGAGGGATGCAGCTTGGAATCAACGTCTCTCTAATGAGATTAGGCTGCATGATAGCCTCGTTTGCCTGGCCTCCCTCCAACAGAACAGAAACGAGATACTTGAGCTGCATCTGGTAACAATTACATGGAGGGGAAATCAAAGCGCTTGCTTTGTTAAACCTTCAGAATGTATAATTAGAGTCTGCCTTTAAAAAGGCTCCGGATTGCTTCAGACCCGGCTTGCTTTTTGTCTCTTTTTTCATAAGCGCTAATTGCAGAGTCCAACTGATCTGTTTTTAGGGATGTAACATCAGAGAGAGGAATGTGTTACTGCTGTTGACAGCACACCACTGCTCAATTACATTGACATGGTGCTGGGAAGCTGCGACACGGACCGCTTTCATAGCGAGCCGCTCTAGCGCTCCCCTGAGCTGGCATGTGTGATGCTCTTTGTGGCATCAGCCAGCGGGCAGAAGCAAAAATCTGCAGGTCAGAAGACGAGGGGAAATCCTGTCGACTGTAATGAGGGGAGCGCAAAACTACATATTCTTTAAAATCATCAAAGTTGACGGATTATCTGAATGACTAGTCAACCAGTTGGCCTTAAACACTTGTATAATTTTACCACTTTACTTAAAATTTTTTTGATTGTTCAGTGTTTTGATTTCTTTTGTTTCTGTATTTGTTTTGCAATGAAATTTTCTGATCTGTTCTGTCATTCTTTGTCTTTGTAAGCATTAGAAAGGAGCTATTATTATTAGAAGTAGAAATAATTAGGATGATTTATGATGCCTTTCCTCTATCTCTGACATTTAATGATTGCCGTATTTCAGTTATGAAGCAACCGTTACCCTGCACCAATTGACCATGGTAAAATGAGAGAATAATGAAAGTATGAGTAAAGAAAACGAAACAAAACAAAGCAAAATATAGTACGTTTTCTACGGCTAATCAAAAGAAAAAAGTATTAAATAATTTTGGACATAATTATTAATAATCACCCATTTTTAAAGAAGAGTTTAAAGAATAACATTTGACATACAATACATCACATCCAGTTTAGCAGTCGTTTAGCCATGAAAATTCTAATATTTTAATGCAGTTGACCGTGCAGTTGGACTTGAACTTGAAAAATGGTGTACTGACATCTTTGCGCATTTGAAACAAGATACTGTTTGAACTGAGGTGCTACAGCGATCTGTCACGACACATTAAAGAGCCATAAAATGGTATTTATTGTTTGAATTTCTTACAAAATGACTCAATTTGAAAGCTGAGACTTTGTTTTATACCAAAAGTAACCTGCGCTGTCTTGTCTGTCAATCGAAGCTCAAATTGGATCCGAAAATTTGACTGGAACTCCACACAGCTTCCGTACTACTCTCTATTGGATGCAAACACAACTGATTTAATATCTGAAGCACATTTCCTTCAAACCAACTAACTAGACAACAATACTGACACATCAAGAACTGTAAAAAGCCGGAAGATGGATTGGAATTCCAAATTTCGACGTGAAACCCAAATTTTCAGCATGACACAAATACATACCACAATTTTTAAATGAAACAATGCATCTCTATAAACTCACTTTTTAATTAACCAATATGTAAAAATCTGTCCTGCAATGACCTGGCTAGGCTGACTTGGTTAAAATAGTTTAGATGCTGGAAATGTATTTAGATATCCACACTTTCCAAGGAACAACAAAAACAGAACTGGACTCATTTTAAGAAAAGAATTTTAGGTATTTTAGGACTATTTGATACTTTCATGGCATTCATATGCATTGGTCTTCTGTTGAGGTGTCGTAAAAAGCCGGAAGATGGATTGGAATTCCAAATTTCGACGTGAAATCAAATTTTCAGCATGACACAAATACATATCACAATTTTTAAATGAAACAATGCATCTCTATAAACTCACTTTTTAATTAACCAATATGTAAAAATCTGTACTGCAATGACCTGGCTAGGCTGACTTGGTTAAAATAGTGTAGATGCTGGAAATGTATTTAGATATCCACACTTTCCAAGGAACAACAAAAACAGAACTGGACTCATTTTAAGAAAGGAATTTAAGGTATTTTAGGACTATTTGATACTTTCATGGCATTCATATGCATTGATCTTCTGTTGAGGTGTTCATGTATTGGCTGAGTACAGTGTGTGCTAGTACTCACATGCAGTGGGGGTGAAGGAGCTGGTCCTGGGAGCTCCCTGTGTGGTGGGGGGAGGAGGCATGGTGGGCGGAGTTAACCTGGACTGTGTTTTCACATCAGCAGGTGAGTCGGGCATGGTGGAGCGCTTCTCAGTGCGATCTGCAGAAGAAAAAGTGGAACAGTTCTTGTGAGACCTCAGTGATATCCCAACAGCTGCCTCTCCACAGCACCTGAGCTCCTGTAAGATATACACACACCGCTACATACACGGTACACGCCTTTAGAGAGTTCATAGATAGTAACACCAGTCAAATTCCAGCTGTCATCCCCATTTCCCTAATGATCAAAGACACCGGCAATACTCTCATTAAAATGTTTCAGAAATCTGGAGAAGCCCCACAGAGGTCTTCAGCATCTACAACAGACATGTAATGTCAACAGCACCCCGTTTCTCCAGAGAGTGAAGATTTAGTCGCATATGTGAGTGATTTACTCGCATTGTAGAGGGTTGTATCATGTGCAAAACTTGCTGTCACAGTGCTTGTGTGTTACCATGTGTGGCTATGTGCTTACTAGGGTTTGTGAGTGATTTCTAGAACATTGCTTGCTGGTTGGTCTATGACAATCTAGTCTCTAGATATGGCCTGGGTCTATTTCAATGCAATTTCATTGTTTGCCAGGCCAAAAAAAAATCTGATTACTATAATAGCATACCTCAATAAACTGCATGCTTTGCAGTGTCATTCATGTTGTGTAGGATGAAACCTATAGTTCTGAGCATGCTCATATCTCCTAAAAATGAAGTTTTGTTCAAATTTGGTCTAGCAAAGTATTCTGGCCACTTCTGTCTAATTACTTACAGGGTTAGAACCAGTGTTGTTATTGTTAACTCAAACTAAAACTATAAAAAAACTGCTTTTGTTAATAAAGCTGAATTAAAATTAAATATACATATTAAATTGAAAAACTTAAATGCAATAAGAAATGTTGCCTTAGTAACCAAATTTGGGTCTATTTCAATGCAATTTCATTGTTTGCCAGGCCAAAAAAAATCTGATTACTATAATAGCATACCTCAATAAACTGCATGCTTTGCAGTGTCATTCATGTTGTGTAGGATGAAACCTATAGTTCTGAGCATGCTCATATCTCCTAAAAATGAAGTTTTGTTCAAATTTGGTCTAGCAAAGTATTCTAGCCACTTCTGTCTAATTACTTACAGGGTTAGAACCAGTGTTGTTATTGTTAACTCAAACTAAAACTATAAAAAAACTGCTTTTGTTAATAAAGCTGAATTAAAATAAAATATACATATTAAATTTAAAAACTTAAATGCAATAAGAAATGTTGCCTTAGTAACCAAATGACATAAAATAAGTAGAAGTTTAAATGCTAAAATTAATAGAACCCACATTGAAATAAAAATAATTTGAAGCTACATAGAAATATTAAGTGCATAATAAAATAACTAAAATGTAAACTAAAATTAAATTGAAAACTGAATATATAAAAAGCTACTTCAAAATAAATAGTACACAAATAATACTAAAATAACACTGGTCAGAGTTGGTTTGGAGAAGGTCCAAAGTACTAAATCATGAAACTTCTGTTGCTGTTGTTGTTGTTTTTGGCCAAGCACCAACAGTGACAGTTTTTAGGGCATGTGCATCCTTTTTTATATACTTTAAAACCCTAGACAGCACAAAAAATGACATCTTGATGCTGTTTACTCCAGAAGGTCATGACTAACGCTGTGGTCTCATTTTAGTTGTTTTACAATATCAGCAACTGTATTGACCCATCAGCACCCTTGTTCTCTCTATTTCTTACATATACACAGACATGTATGCGTTGTACCAGCTGTGGGAACACTGTGTGTCAGGGCAAGCAGCTGCCCTTCGTCTGTGGCGTGTAGTCTGACTTTTCCCGATTACAACTGTCCTGGGTGTCCCTTTGACTCTGATAACAGCAGGGGCTCCTGTTTAACCCCTTCTTTTTTTACACACCATTCTCTTTTCAGCATGTTATACTCCACAGAAGAATATTAAATACAGACAGTTGATAATGGCTAAGTACAGTACCTCCTTTCAAAGATGTTTCACAGCTAAAGATAACAGCTATTGTTTTGCTTGACATGTACACATTGCAGTATGATCTGAAAAGAAAGGTGGGTGCTTTTAAACAACAACAGTCAGACCAGGAAAGCACAGGAGATAAAAAAGGTGGGAATTTCAACTCTGTATGGCTCCCATTCCCTAGGCACCTCTGTGGCTGTATGTGTGCACCAGATCCTAAACATATGTGCCTGTGTAGGCTTAATCTGCCCCATACTTGCTCCCCATGCACTTTCAATCCTT